TGAGCCTGGGAAGTGGTGGAGGCTGCAGTGAGCTATGACCCTGCTATTGTACTGCAGCCTGGGTTACAGAGCAAGACCCCATTTCAAAAAAAAAAAAAAAAAAGTGAGCTCCATAAAGGCCTCTATGAGAAGGGAAAGGTTGATACAAGCTGAGGCTCATTACCTGGACCACATGTCTACAATCCAGGTGGGACTGGCTCAACACGGTATCTTTTACATCATCTTGCAAAGTGCCTTCCCTCAGCTTCTCTAAGAAGTATTTGTAGAGTGAATGTTGAGTGGATTTTAAAATGAGGCTTCGAAATCCCCATGGTCTCCTGGCACCACTGTAGGACAGTTACTGTAGGACTGTAACCGTAAGATGTTACTGTAGGACTGTTACTGTAGGATGGTTACTGTAGGACTGTTACCATAGGATTGTTACTGTAGGATGGTTACTGTAGGACTGTTACTATAGAATGGTTACTGTAGTACTGTTACCGTAGGACTGTTACTATAGGATGGTTACTGTAGGACTGTTGGGTCACCCCTGGCTGTTAAGGCCATTTCCCTTTCTCTTCTCTCAGCAACCAGCCTGTGGCTTCAGGGGAAACTTCCAGTTCAAGACTGAAAGTCATGGTTTTGGCCCCGAAATATATTTCTGCTCCTGACTCCATGAGAACAAGACAGATTCTACAGGGAATGAAAATAGAAGATGACTGGAGCAAACACTGGTTATAAAGGATTTCTTATGAAGTGAGACTTGAAGAGGAAGCAGCAGATTCCAGATGAATCTTAGGGTTGGAACCCATTTTTTACCTTCGTAACCAGAGAGCCTGGGTATTCTTGATTCTTCCACCATAGACCACTGATGTGGTTTGAGAAGCGAGTTCAGAATTACACCACTTTCAACAATACCCAGAGGCATAAATTGCTCCAAAGCTTTTTATCAGGCTTGACCAAGCACGGTGGCTCACGCCTGTAGTCCCAGCACTTTGGGAGGGCAACGCAGGCGGATCACTTGAGGTCAGGAGTTCGAGACCAGCCTGGTCAACATGGTGAAACCCTGTCTCTACTAAAAACTACAAAAATGTAATCCCAGCTACTTGGGATGAGGCAGGAGAATAGCTTGAACCTAGGAGGCGGAGGTTGCAGTGAGCCGACATCATGCCATTGCATTCCAGCCTCTGTGACAGAGCAAAACTCCATCTCAAAAACAAACAAACAAACAAAAAATCAGGCTTTTGGGGTTCCCAAACTGTTTGATATTTGTTCTACCTCAGGTTGGCCTACCCCCACATGTTTCTTTCCAGGTTCTCTGCTTGTCCCCTCAGGCAGTATCTCTGGATCTGGGCTCTAAAGCTGGGAGTGAGAAAAATGGTCCACTTCTGACATACCTGCTTTGAGGACTGAGTGCTCAGTGGTAGTGGGTGGCCAGTGGCCTCATGTCTTTTCAGCTGCCCTGTCATGGTACACAACTACAGACTTTCAGTGGGGCAAGTGTGATGAATCCCCAGTACTCAGCATCAAGGTGCCCAAGGAAGAGCCTTCATCTCACCAACACTAGACGGGTGGAGGAAGGGAGCTCCTGCCTCTGGGGCTGCACTCACTATGGATTTAGCCTCAGCAAGTTTCTGGTGGCAAGATAAGAAGTGCTGACATCCCACCCTGCTGAGAAGACAGCCCCCCTGTCTGGAAGCTGGGAGGGAGAGCCCTGTGTTCTTGTCTGCAACACTGTGAAGCATAGTTTCCGTATCACTGAATTGGGAAGGTTGAAGGAAAGAGATGGTCTTGGTTCAAATACCACTGACTCTCACAGTTCTTACAGAAGGACAGATTCTCTTGAATAAATATTTTTTCATTTGATGTATCTCCTTAGGACTATCTCCAGAGACGTGCCTTTTTGTTTTTGTTTTTTTTTTTTCATTTTTGTTTTTAATAATTTTCAACAGTTTTCTTGGGGAGTGGGCCCACAGAGCTCCTTATGCTGCCATGCCAGAAGTCTCTCCTTGCTTTTCTTGTTTTAAACTTTTTATTTTCTGACAATTTTAGCTGTAAAGAAGCAAAGATATTACAGAGTTCCTATATAACTTCATGCAGCTCCACCTCATGTTAATACGTCACAAGTCTATGACGTATTTGTCAAAGCTAAGAAATTAACATCGGTATACTACTACTACTAACTGAACTACGCACTGCATTTGGATTTCACCAGTGTTTTTCCACTAATGTCCTGCAGTTGCAGGATCCAGTCCAGGACACCACATTTCACTTAATCATCTCATTGCTTTAGTTTTCTTCCATCTGGGACAGTTGCTCTGTCTTTTCTTGTTTTTCATGATCTACATACTTCTGGAGTACTCATCATGCAATGTCCCTTAATTTGCATTTGTCTATTTTTTCATTATTAGTCTAGAATTGTGGGTTAAGGGGAAGAACATCAGATTGGCAAAGTGTCCTCCTTGTATCATCATAGTAGGTGTTACTTGATGTCAAGATGACTAAAATGGGCCAGGCGCAGTGGCTTACGCCTGTAATCCTAACACTTTGGGAGGCCGGGGCAGGCGGGTTATGAGGTCAGGAGATCGAGACCATCTAGCTAACACAGTGAAACCTCGTCTCTACTAAAAATACAAAAATTAGCCGGGCGTGGTGGCGGGCACCTGTAGTCCCAGCTACTCAGGAGGCTGGGGCAGGAGAATGGCTTGAACCTGGGAGGCAGACGTTGCAGTGAGCTGAGATGGTGCCACTGCACTCCAGCCTGGGCGACAGAGCGAGACTCCATCTCAAAAAAAAAAAAAAAAAAAATTGACTTAAGTGATGCTAACCTTGATCACTTGGTTAGGTGGTTGTCTGCCAGGTTTCTCCTGTCAAGTTACTGTTTTCACTTTCCACAATTAGTCACTAAGTCCAGCCAACTCAAGGGGAAGACCACAAAGCTCTACTGTCTGAAAGGCGATGGTGGTATCTATGTATACTATTTGCAATTCTTTTTTAAGATTGGTTTCTTCTTATTTATGGGCAAGCCTTATTAATTACTGGTTTTAATTTTTGAAAACTCAAGTAAGTGCTCACCTTAGCAGTACATATATTAAAAATCAAATAAATGTAAGTGCTTCTATGTGTGTTTTGTGAATCCCATCTTATACACATAAGGTAAGGGAGATGCTAAGATTTGGAAATAGTTCATCTCCACCAAAACTCATGTTGAAATTTGATTTCCAAGCTGGGCATGGTGGTGTGCACCTATAGTCCCAGCTACTTGGGAGGCTGAGGCCGAAGGATCACTTGAACCTAGGAGTTCACAGACAGCCTAGGTAACATAGTGAGACCCCATATGATATGGTTTGGCTGTGTGCCCACCCAAATCTCATCTTGAATTGTAACTCTCACAATTCTCGTGTGTCATGGGAGGGATCGGTGGGGGGTGACTGAACTATGGGGCCGGGTCTTTCCTGCGCTGCTATGATAGTGAAGGAGTCTCACCAGATCTGATAGTTTTAAAAACAGAAGTTTCCAGCCGGGCGCGGTGGCTCACGCCTGTAATCCCAGCACTTTGGGAGGCCGAGGGGGGTGGATCACAAGGTCAGGAGACCAAGACCATCCTGGCTAACATGATGAAACCCCGTTTCTACTAAAAATACAAAAAATTAGTGGGGCGTGGTGGCTCGTGCCTATAGTCCCAGCTAGTCAGGAGGCTGAGGCAGGAGAATCGCTTGAACCCAAGAGGCAGAGTGAGCCGAGATCACGCCACTGCACTCCAGCCTGAGCAACAGAGTGAGACAAAAAAGAATAAAAAGAAAACATTCAGTAAGCTTGTCCTGTATTCCTACACAAAGAGTATAACAGCAATATATTCCACAAGAGTAAAGCAAAATAAGTAAAGTTATTCTAAGTAAACTAAATTAGAAGGCTTTTCATGAACTGAGCAACTGTTGGAACTAAGCTGACATGGGGTTGTTAGCTGATTATAATGTGCCCAGAATTAGAATACTGATCCAGATTTTTACATTACCCATCCCTCTTGTTTCTTCTGAGCAGCAATCAGAGATGTTGGTTCACAGGAATAAGCAGTTAGCTTAAATTACAGAAACAAACTTAAAAAGAACTAATGAGACTAGAATTTAATAACAAGTATACCATAGTTCTTGAAATACAATATTTCTCTCTCCAGTTTCCCATTTTTACTAAAGACAAATTAGGGTAAGCCTGTTTTGCTTTATTATACTTGGTCTGATTATTTATATAAAGTGTAGCAAGAATAATTATTTTTCACATAGGCTTTTTTCATTTTTTATTTTTGAGATGGAGTCTCACTCTGTCGCCCAGGCTGGAGTGCAGTGGCACAATCTCGGCTCACTGCAAGCTCTGCCTCTCGGGTTCACGCCATTCTCCTGCCTCAGCCTCCTGAGGAGCTGGGACTACAGGCACCCACCACCACGCCTGTCTAATTTTTGCTGATTTTAGTAGAGACAGGGGTTTCACCACGTTATCACCACGTTAGCCAGGATGGTCTTGATCTCCTGACCTTGTGATCCGGTCGCCTCGGCCTCCCAAAGTGCTGGGATTACAGGCATGAGCCACCGCGCCCGGCCCACATAGGCTTTTTAATTGGCTTTGATGGAACTTTGTTTCATAGAGAATCTCCGATAAGACTTTTTTAAAGCTGAGCCCTGCCATGGGTATGTACCTTCAAATACCTATAAGTTGGGTAAATTCCTCTCCTTTTTAAGTCCTAAGATAATGTGGAGCTCCTGGACTGTGAGAAAGTGACATTCTTTACTTAACCACAGGTCAGAAACTCTGTACAGGGACTGTGTAGGCAAGGTGTGAGGCCAGTTCCCCAAAGGGCTTTTATTGGCTCTACAAGTCAAGTTTGATTCCTTAAAGGAAAGCACATCATTCTAGTCAAAGCCTTGGTAAAATAACCAATTTCTCCAATTATGTCCTGTTATAAAGGAAAACAGATTCTTATTGCATTTATGCAAATAACTATATTGCCATAAGTTAAGAATACTCACAACTAGTTTCCAAATTCTGGAGAAATCAGGTAGAGAGAAACAAATACTTTCCAAATTTTGTTCACAGGAGTATATTCAACTAGTAAAAGCTGCAAATAGCTCAAATGAAAAGTTTCCTTGACTCTGAAAAACAAAACAAAGGACCAGCAATGTTTTAAACAAAGTTAAAAACATTAGACTTCTTCAGTTTAGTCCATGTAGTTAACTTCTGTTTGATACTTATGAACATTTCCGTTCTCTATGAGAGTTCTAAAAGTTTTTTCCTCTATTCTAATGTCACTATGTCCAAAATTATCAGAAAACCTGCTTTTTTTCTTTGGAGTCTCGCTGTCACCCAGGCTGGAGTGCAGTGGCCTGATCTCAGCTCACTGCAAGCTCCGCCTCCCAGGTTCACGCCATTCTCCTGCCTCAGCCTGGAACTACAAGCAGCTGGGACTACAGGCGCCTGCCACCATGCCCGGCTAATTTTTTGTATTTTTAGTAGAGACAGGGTTTCACCATGTTGGCCAGGCTGGTCTCAAACTCCTGACCTCGTGATCTGCCCACCTCGGCCTCCCAAAGTGCTGGGATTACAGGTGTGAGCCACTGCACCCAGCCAGAAAACCTGCATTTAAGAACACCTGCTAGAGTTCTTTCTTTTTTTTCAAGATAGAGTCTCACGCTGTTGCCCAGGCTTGAGTGCAGTGGCATAATCTCAGCTCACTGCAACCTCCACTTCCCAGGTTCAAGTGATTCTCCTATCTCAGCCTCCTGAGTAGCTGGGACTACAGGCCTGTGCCACCACACCTGGCTAACTTTTTACATTTTTAGTAGAGATGGGGTTTCACCATATTCAGGCTGGTCTCAAGCTCCTGACCTCATGATCTGCCTGCCTCGGCCTCCCAAAGTACTGGGATTACAGGAGTGAGCCACCATGCCCAGGCCCCCCGGCCTTTTTTTTTTTTTTTTTTTTTTTTGAAACAGAGTCTCGCACTGTCACCCGAGCTGGAGTCCAGTGGTGCGATCCCAGCTCACTGCAACCTTCACCTCCTGGGTTCAAGCGATTCTCCTTCCTCAGCCTCCCAAGGAGCTGGGACTACAGGCCTGCGCCACCACACCCGGCTAATTTTTATATTTTTAGGAAACACAGGGTTTCACCATATTGGCCAGGCTGGTCTCAGACTCCTGACCTCATGATCTGCCCACCTTCGCCTCCCAAAGTACTGGGATTAGAGGCGTGAGCCACCGTGTCCGGCCCTTTTTTTTTCTTTTTGGATACAGAGTCTCACACTGTCACCCGAGCTGGAGTCCAGCAGCGCAATCCCAGCTCACTGCAACCTCTGCCTCCCAGGTTCAAGCGATTCTCCTGCCTCAGCCTCCCGAGTAGCTGGGATTACAGGTGCCTGCCCCCATGCCTGGCTACTTTTTTTGTATTTTTTTTGTAGAGACAGGGTTTCACTATGTTGGCCAGGCTGGTCTCCAACTCCTGACCTCGTCATCCACCCTCCTCGGCCTCCCGAAGTGCTGGGATTACAGGTTTGAGTCACTGCACCCGCCCAGCCTGGAGTTCTATAGTTGATTATAAACCATCTTCTAAAGATGATTAAAACAAGACAATTGTCTGTGGATGATAGAAAATTTCAGGACAGCCACTATTAAGGCCACAAGTGATAAGGAAATTTGGTTCTGTGGCACACAAAATTTTACATAACAATTATAATTATTAATAACATTCTATTAAGAATTATAGGAGTTTCCCATAATTTTGGAACATATACCAATAACATATTTATGCAAATATAATCCAAAGAAAACAAAACACCATTTCACATTTGATAATGCTTCTTGTATGATCTTTATACCAAATAAGCCAAATTTCACCTTTACATTAATGTACTATTAATGTGAAACCCAATTTTTAATAAAATCTTATAGATGGCCAGATGCGGTGGCTCACACCTGTAATCCCAGCACTTTGGGAGGCCGAGGTGCACAGATCATGAGGTCAGGAGTTCGAACCAGCCTGACCAACATGGTGAAACCCCGTCTCTACTAAAAATACAAAAATTAGGCCGGGCGCAGTGGCTCACGCCTGTAATCCCAGCACTTTGGGAGGCCGAGGCAGGTGGATCACGAGGTCAGGAGATGGAGACCATCCTGGCTAACACGGTGAAACCCCACCTCTACTAAAAATACAAAAAGATTACCAGGGCGTGGTGGCGGGCACCTGTGGTCCCAGCTTCTCGGGAGGCTGAGGCAGGAGAATGGTATGAACCCGGGAGGCGGTGGAGCTTGCAGTGAGCGGAGATCGGGCCACTGCACTCCAGCCTGGGAAAGAGAGTGATACTCCATCTCAAAAAAAAAAAAAAAACAAAAACAAAAACAAAAATTAGCCAGGTACCTGTAGTCCCAGCTACTCCAGGAGGCTGAGGCAGGAGAATCGCTTGAGCCCAGGAGGTGGAGATTGCAGTGAGCCAAGATAGTGCCAGTGCACTCCAGCCTGGGTGACAGAGCAAGACTCTGTCTCAAAAAAAAACAAAACAACAACAACAAAAACCCTTATAGACCTATTTACCCAATTTTAATGTTTAACCATAAGGTAAGATTCTTTTTTTTTTTTGAGATGAATGTTTAATTTATGGAAAAACTGAGTAATACCCCTTTAACTTTAGCCAATATGTTCACACACAGAATCTCTTACAATTAAATTTTATAAACCTTCCAGAACTTGTTTAAATATTTAGATTTTTTTTCTTACTTAAAACAATCGTTCAACACTTTAGGCAGAAAAAATGCCCACATTCCCATGCCTTCTTATAATCATTTTCTTTTTCTTTTTTTTTTTTTAACCAAAAACACATTTACTTTTCTTACACTCCTTCCATGTAAAATTGTTTCTTTAGTAGTGTCAATTACATGTTATAATGTTAACTCTTAGCAACTTTTATTTTTGGTGAAAACCTTGGTAAGTAAGGGATTTTAATTATGTACTAGGTGTGCAGCCTGCCTAGGACACACCAGGCAGAAGTGCAAATAGGAACTGACTCTCCAGCATAACCAAAGAGCACTATGGTTAAAAGGGGGTGTGGCTAACTCCAGAGGCCCCCAGGCCTTACCTAGAATCTACTGGCTTTAAGGGTAGGTAAATTGAACAATTTTCAAAAGTTAAAGAAACAGTTTGACCTCAAAGCATTTAGCAATCTGATATCTGACCTTAATTTAGACCAAGCGTCTACATTTTCAAGATATTTTATTTTACCAATAATCTCTAAAACTGTCTTTCTTTCCAAAAGATTACTAAAGTCACAAGAACAAAAATGCATTACAGTTTCTATTTTGCTGACAAAATATTTGATTTAAGCACTTATTTTTCTAAGGCAATTAATTAGAACTCTTTTATATCTAAACATACAACACATATAAATACACAGACACACAAAAGATTCAGCACTTGTAAGATTTTTCATTTGCCAGTTTTTTAACTGGATTACTGGCTTCCAGTAATGAAGTCATCCACCCGCCTCGGCCTCCCAAAGTGCTGGGATTACAGGCATGAGCCACCACACCCAGCCTATCCACTTTTAATTAAGCTAACTTTTAACCATAGTGCTCTTTAAAAAAGAAATCCTTTCAAATCTCTTATTACCCAACTTTAGCCATGCCAAGAAGCCAATATTTCTAGCTTCTGAACTTTACCAAAGGTTATCTCCTAGGTGCATAGAAAAAGGACAATTTAAAACAGTCTGTGGAGGAGAAGAGAATAGACAAGGTCCCGCAGATATTAAACCAGAAACGACTTACTTCCTAGGTGGGGTATCAAACCCAGACTGCCACTGTGAAAGTGCAAAAACCTTAGTTACTGAGCTACAGCATGGGACGATGCCCACTTCCTTTCACAGAAGCCTAGAGTAGTTAATTTTGAGCTTGCAAGGGCTTTTAACTACTTAATATGATTTTTAGAGCTGACTATGACATGAACCCTAAAATTCCTGTTCCCTAGAAGGTAGAGACCAAGAGAAGGTACCACTACATGGTTAAAAGGTCAAGCTCCCAAGGACATAAAACAAGGGGGAGACTTCATCCAGTGTGTTTGTTTCAGGGACCTGACCAGCTTGCTGGGTCGTCTTGAAAAGCGGGCTTACAGGCGTTCTAAGCCCATGTTTTATCCTACAGAAAAATGAATTCAAAGCACAAAATACACCAGCTTAAGACTAGCCTTACAATTCTTTTTCACATTAATCAAAACTTTACAGAGGAGATAAACACTGATTTATTGATTTGTTGTTATTATTATTATTATTTTACCATTCATTCAACCATTTGCATAGAGAGAGAAATCAGAAATCTGACTGGTAACAAATTCTTACCCTTTTGCTGGCATGCGAGGCTTCTGTGTTCCCTTTCTCTGAGTGGTCCCAGTGATCTGGCTTGTGGCACCACTGCCCTGGGGGCCAAGTCGCATTATAAAGGAAAATTACTTTTTTTCATTCTGACCAGAACAAAATACATGCGATAAAACATACACATTAGCCACTCTGCTTAGCACCCAATATTAAAATGGCAAGGCTTAAATTTGCCCCCAGATGGGCCCCGTCATCTTGAATCCAGCCTCTGACTTGGGAGTTTCAACATGTGGTCTCTGGGGAAAATGGTTGCCCTGAGTAACAGAGTAACAGAAAAGATAAGAAAGGGAAATACTTTCCCAGGTAATATTTTCCCAGGAAATACTTTCCACAGGCAATACTTTCCCAAGGAAGGGGAAATGATCAGGGAGGCCAGAGAAAGACCCACCCATTGTAGTGACACTGAAAAGTTCAGGCGGCTGCGGCTGCTGTCGTGAAGGTATTTTTTTCCAGCAATGCCCTCAGCTCTCAAGTTTCCCCTTTTGCGGGAGGAAAAAGCTCCCAGTGTCCCATGATCCTGTACATGCCTAACCCTGTTGCTCACAGTCATCAACAAAGAATGCAAGGCAGATTAATCCAAAGAGAATAGGAGTTAACATCCCACGGTGCCAAACCTGTTCTTAGCCAGCAGAGACTTTACTGAGAGGGGTCTCTAATCCCCTAAATCTTAGAAGCGACTCTAATCCTCCTGACTTGGGCCTCTAACCCAAGGTCGGTCAAGTGTCCTTGCCTTTTATTAAGAGGGGCCTCTAACCCACTCTGTCTTAGGAGAGACTCTAACTCCCCTAACTTGAGCGTCTATCCCAATCCCATTCTTAACTTGGATACCCCACCACTTATCCAAAGTCGTCCAATCAGTGCTGCAGTCTATTTCCTTTGGGTCAGGGGGATCTCCTCAGTATTGTTCCTCTTGTGGTTTGCAAGAAAGGTGTTACTGGATCCCACCACACACCCAAAGTTAGCCTTTGGGTCAGGGGTTTCTGCAGTATAGTCTCTTCTGTGGTGGCCAGGAATATGTTACAGGAAAGGGGTCCCAATCCATACCCCAAGAGAGGGTTCTTGGATCTCGCGCAAGAAATAATTCAGGGCGAGACCATAGAGTAAAGTGAAAGCAAGTTTATTAAGAAAGAAAAGGAATAAAGAATAGCTACTCTACAGACAGAGCAGCCCCGAGGGCTGCTGGTTGCCCATGTTTATGGTTATTTCTTGATGACATGCTAAACAATGGGTGGATTATTCATGCCTCCCCTTTTCAGACCACATAGGGTAATTTCCTTACATTGCCATGGCATTTGTAAACTGTCATGGCACTGGTGGGAGTGTAGCAGTGAGGACGACCAGCGGTCACTCTCGTCACCACGTTGGTTTTGGTGGTTTTGGCCAGCTCCTTTACTGCAACCTATTTTATCAGCAAGGTCTTTATGACCTGTATTTTGTGCTGACCTCCTATCTCATCCTGTGACTCAGAATGCCTTAACTGTCTGGGAATGCAGGCTAGTAGGCTTTAGCTTCATTTTACCCAGCTCCTATTTAAGATGGAGTTGCTCTGGTTCATACGCCTCTGAAAAAAACATTTAAATTTAATTATAAGAGTCTGGCCAGGCGCGTTGGCTCACATCTGTAATCCCAACACTTTGGGAGGCCGAGGCGGTCGGATCACCTGAGGTCGGGAGTTCGAGACCAGCCTGACCACCATGGAAAAACCCCGTCTCTACCAAAAACAGCCACGCGTGGGGTCTCATGCCTGTAATCCCAGCTACTTGGGAGGCTGAGGCAGAAGAATCGCTTGAACCCAGGAGGCAGAGGTTGCAGTGAGCCGAGATCGTGCCATTGCACTCCAGTCTGGGCAACAAGAGTGAAACTCCATCTCAAAAAAAAAAAAAAATTTAATTATAAGAGTCATAAGTATGTGAAAAAGAGAATGATGTCTTTTTATTGCCAATGATGAATAACAGTGTTGCTAGAACACTAATTTAGCCAAAAATATTTCTCCAGAAGTATTTTATAGACAGCATCGTGTAGGAAATTGACCCCATCTCCATTCGTTGACTATTTTCAATCTCGAAATTAAATCTCTTGGGGAGTACTTTCTGCACACCTTGTTTCTATTTTCATAACCATATCTATCGTCAAACCATTGAAAGCTGGACTTTATTCTCTCACTTTCATAATCATGGAAAGAAAAAAAAAAGTTACTGATGGGGACTACGAAGACTTTGCATAATATGGATATCGTTTGCATAATATAGGATTGTTAAAATCCTCACATGACTTTATTGGTCTCCTGTCTGCAACCAGTTAATGCTGGATTGGGCCAGGGTTCCCCTCTTTCCCGTCACTTATCCATTCTTTTCAAAGCCTCACCTAATATCATGACTTGAAGTAACAGTTTACGGTAACAACTCTCAAATTTATATATCCACTCTCGAACCCTCTGCCAATGTTGAATCATAGGTTGAGTAGATGGCACTACGCTTTGAGGTCTCACGTTTCAAACTGATCATGCTTGAAATGGGAGTACTGGGCTTCCCTGCAAGCCTGCTCCACTAGCAGCCTCCCCACCTCAGGGTATGGGAAGTCCACACGTGGCGAACGCGAAGCCTATTACATCACCCGGAAGTCCCTGCATCCTTTGAAGGCTGGGCCCGGCCAAAGGAGGCCCAATAGAGGGCGGTCTGTCCTTTCCCAGCAGGCTGGGCACACTGTCAGGCGTCCTCCTTTGGGTGGCTATTTTAACTGCTCATTTATCCTTTTCTTCTATGAAAAGATCCAGAAAAGAGGCAAAGCGAGCGAGAAGTCGCGGGCCCAGCCCCACAGCAGGGTAAGCACCTTTGTTCGGGGTCTGAATCGGGGCGAGTATCCCCGCCTCCTGATCTCGATTTTCCTGAGCTTGAAGGGACCTTTCGACCCTCCGACGTGTGCCTATACTAAAGCGGCGGCCCTAAGACGACGCGGGGGTTCTGGTGCGCACTTACGTGGAGTCGGATGCGCTGGGTGAGTTCCCACACCCGGTAGATGTAAGGGAAAAACTGCATTACCCAGAAGGCACCGTCCCTTGCGTCGGCCGCGGACTCTGGGCCATTGACGGCCCAGGACAGGAGCGTTTTCTGCGGGCCAGGGCGGCGGAGGCGGGACTTCCGCTTCTTCGTGTGACGTCATCTCCGTGGGCCGGCTTGGCCCTGAAACAGTGTGGGGCCTAGAGCGCTGGGTGGGCGCGTTCTGCGGCCTGAGCAGGGAAGGGTAGTGAAGCGGTTACGCCCCTTCTCGGCGTCTTGGCGGGAGCCTGACGCCCCGCTTCTCCCCTAACGAGGCATCCTACTGGCGCCCGTCGAGGCCTAGGCCTCCGCAGCCGCCCTCCGTCTCCTCAGCCCCGACGCTGCGCCCTGGGCCTTGTGCGCATTTTTTTTTGGGGAAAACTGAGGCTCAGAGTGCGAAAGTCAGCCGAGGTCGCCCCGCCCAGGACAGAGAAGGGCTGTGGTCGGCTGATCCGCGGCATTCCCGGGATGGCGGCGGCGTGGATGGCTCCGGCGCAGGTGAGTGGACGAGGTTTCGGCCTTGCTGCTGCTCTGCTATTTCTGGAGGCCTCGTGGGCAGGCTGGAAGCCAAGACAGCCACAGGATTTTTCTTTGTCGCCATCGTTTAAGAGAAATGGCCGTGGCTTGTCATTTCCTTTATCCGCAGTCCTGCAACAGTGTTGGCCTCTGATAGATGTTCAGTCCGTGGTTGAAGGGGGAGTGATGCTTCCTTCTAGGGCTCTCATCACACTTCCCCTAAATCCAGCCTTCTCTCTGGCCTGCCAGCCCCTACCCCATCCCCTTGGCCAACCACCCCGACCTTGTGTCTTTGCGTTTTTCCCTGGTCCTTTGCTCTTCAGAGCCACCAAGCTGACCGTACAGAGTCCTCTTCCATTTTCCAGCCTTTCTCCTTGACCCCCTTTACCTCGAACACTGCCGCTGTAGTGGGGGGCCTCCGTCCCACATCCTTCTGGCCTCTGTCCAGATGTCACGTATTTGGAGGTGCCTTTTTTGGCAATTCCGGCTAAAGTGGCAGCTTACGCCCTTGCCCAGAGTCTGGTATTTTTGTGTAGAGAATCTGATGGTGTTAAAGAAGCTTGTGGATTTGAGTTTGTCAAAGACGTAATGAGAACAAAGAAAAATAATTAGAAAGAATGATATTAACTGACAGTCGTTGAGTCCTTGCTGTAGGCTGATCGGTGGGTAATATTTAACCCTCAGCTCGTTTAATCCTGATTTTTTTTTTTTTTTTTTTTTTTTTGAGACGGAGACTTGCTCTGTCCTCCAGGCTGGAGTACAGTGGTGTGACCTTGGCTCACTGCAAACTCCGCCTTCTGGGTTCAAGCGATTCTCCTGCCTCAGCCTCCTGAGTAGCTGGGAGTACAGGTGCACGCCACCACGCCTGGCTAATTTTTGTATTTTTAGTAGAGACGGGGTTTTACCATGTTGGCTACGCTGGTCTTAAACTCCTGACCTCAGGTGATCCACCCGCCTTGGTCTCCCAAAGTGCTGGGATTACAGGTGTAAGCCGCAGCACCCGGCTTAATCCTGAACTCTTTAGAATTAGGTTATATTGTCATCATTGTTTTACACAAGAGCAATTTGAGGGTCACAGATGTTCAATTACTTGCCTTGCATCACTGTAGCTCTTAAGTATCAGAAACTAACAACTGGTATGTTTACCATCATAGTCTGTGTTTTTAACCTCTTCTTTACCTGCAATGGTTAGGGAGGCCTGGGGGTGACACCTAAAGTAAACTTTGCAAGATGAGGCCTCCTTCTAGCCATGGTCTTGGGCATGAGGAGTCATGGCCTTTCATACTGGTGGAACTGTGTAGACTTAAAAAATGGTATATTGGTTGTTTAAGGAGTTCCCAGGGGACCTGTGTGGCTTCCACAGTGGTTTTATATGTGGTTCCCCTTACTCCCTTACCTGCTGACATATTCTGAGAGGGCACGTTTGTATGGTTTTGTTGCTGAATGTACTCTCCTACTCAGCCGGGATAGATATAATCTCCAGATGGGCCCATATTCTCATGGCTACAACCTGTTGTGCCCTCTGTGACTCTTGTTTGCTTGCTGCTGGAATATTCTGGCTTCAGGGATACCTGCTAGTAGGACTCAGGTAGAAAAGGAAGTGATGGCTCATTGTGAATTCTCCCTGGAAGCTGGTCCAGGCCCTAACACCTGATCAGGTGCCACCACCTCAGGTGATTCTTTGGTGAGGTGGATGATGATGACTACACTTCTCTGTGCTTGTCCATGGGAGTGGCTGAAATGGATATATGGATTTGAAATGCTTCATCCTCATTAACTACGTTAACTTTGCTAATAGAGAAATGTCAGGTTACATAATTAGACCAGAGGGCCTCGGGCTTAAATCCTGCCTCTGTTGATAAGACCTGTGACTCTGGGCTGGGCATGGTGGCTCGCACCTGTAATCCCTGCACTTTGGGAGGCCGAGGTGGGTGGACTGCTTGAGCCCAGGAGTTCAAGACCAGCCTGGGCAACATGGGGAAATCCTATCTCTACAAAAAATACAAAAACTTAGACTGGTGTGGCATCTTGTGCCTGTAGTCCCAGCTACGCAGGAGGCTGAGGTGGGAGGATCACTAGACCACAGGAGGTCAGGGCTGCAGTGAGCCAACATTGTGCCACTGTACTCCAGCCTGGGTGACAGAGTGAGACCATCTAAAAAAAAAAAAAAAAGACATGAAGACATGTGACTTTGGGTAGACTGGTAGAGCTTCTGGGACCTGAGATCTGGGCCTCAGGTCTCTGAGTGTGACATAGAGATGATGATAGTAAATTCAGATGCTGTGTGTAGCCTTTGCCTCAGTGTTTTTGTTGTTGTTGTTGTTGTTGTTTTTTACAAACAGTTTTTCTTTGTTTCATTTTCTTTCCTTTTTTTTTTTTTTTTTTTTTTTTTTGAGACGGAGTCTAGCTCTGTTGCCAGGCCGGAGTTCAGTAGTGCGATCTTGGCTCACTGCAACCTCCGCCTCCCGCGTTCAAGTGATTGTCCTGCCTCAGCCTGCCAAATAGCTAGGACTACAGGCACACACCACCACGCCCAGCTAATTTTTGTATTTTTAGTAGAGATGGGGTTTCACCTTGCCTGCCAGGATGGTCTCGATTTCCTGACCTCATAGTCTGCCCACCTCGGCCTCCCAAACTGCTGGGATTACAGGTGTGAGTCACCATGCCCAACCTACAAACAGTTTTTCTTTAGTTCTTTTTTTTTTTTTTTTTTTTGGGGACAGAGTCTCACTCCGTTGTCCAGGCTGGAGTGCAGTGGCATAATCTTGGCTCACTGCAACCTCTGCCTCCCAGGTTCAAGCTATTCTCCTGCCTCAGCCTCCCTAGTAGCTGGGATTGCAGGTTTGTGCCACCACACCTGGCTACTTTTTGTATTCTTAATAGAGACGGGGTCTCACCATGTTGGTCAGGCTGGTCTCAAATTCCTGACCTCAGGTAATCCACGTGCCTCAGCCTCCCAAAGTGCTGGGATTACAGGCATGAGCCACCATGCCCAGCCTTGACTATTCTTGATGAAGTGGGAAACATGGTTATACTGACCTGGAAATCGAGGCTCAGCGAAATGAAATGAGGTCCCCAAGGTCACATAGCAGGCACATGTTGATTTCAGGAATTTGGTTTTAAACCTCAGGAGTCTGGCTCCTGAGCTGGGGACTTTCAGTCACTTTACCATGGCATGTAAACCTGTCAGCATGAGGCAGGCACACAGGGAGGATCGGTAAGACTCAGGTACTGTTCCTGTTATTGTTGCTGGTGTTGATGTTTTTATTATTATTCTTCGCTATTCCTCTGATATGTCAGAGCGCTTACTGTCTGTGCCTCTCAGTCTGTTTCGGATTGTCCTAACCTTATTTCTGTGTCAAGTTCTAGTGGTTTCCTGCATAGGAGGCTTTTTATTTTTATTTTTATTTTTTAAGATGGAGTCTTGCTGTGTTGCCAGGCTGGAGTGCAGTGGCGTGATCTCAACTCACTGCAGCCTCCACCTCCCAGGTTCAAGCAATTCTCCTGCCTCAGCCTCTTCTGTGTCCTCTTCGCTGCTGTAATCCATGCAAGGCAGTGTCCACATTCCCCTTGATCCTAGCACAGATCTTGGCCCTTTGGAGGTGCTTGGTAATTTGGCCTTTGATTCTCTGTGCATCTTTTGCAGTGCTAGAGTGACAGGTTCTAATCCTATTCCACAGTTGCAAAGGAAACATTACTGGCTCTGTTTGACTTTTCAGGAGTCTGTGACCTTCGAGGACGTGGCTGTGACATTTACCCAGGAGGAGTGGGGGCAGTTGGACGTGACCCAGAGGGCCTTGTACGTGGAGGTGATGCTGGAGACCTGTGGGCTTCTGGTCGCACTGGGTAAGGCCTGTCCTCTCCTCTCCAACATCAGGGGCACCTGAAAGCAGCTTCATTCTAGCCTAATTCAGCTTCATTCTGGCTTTAGGCCGGGCTAGTGGAATAGGTCTTGGGAGCCAGCCCCCCATTTCCCAAAGCTTGACTCAATTTTTTTTTTTTCTTTTTTTTTTTTTTTTTTTTGAGACACAGTTTCGCTCTTATTGCCCAGGCTGGAGTGCAATGGTGTGATCTTGGCTCACCAGAACCTCCGCCTCCCGGATTCAAGTGATTCTCCTGCCTCAGCCTCCAGAGTAGCTGGGATTACAAGCATGTGCCCCCACACTCAGCTTATTTTGTATTTTTAGTAGAGATGGGGTTTCTCCATGTTGGTCAGGCTGGTCTCAAACTCCTGACCTCAGGTGACCTGCCCACCTTGGCCTCCCAAAGTGCTGGGATTACAGGCATGAGCCACCACGCCTGGCCTCATTATTTTGACTCACTTGATTCTTCCTGATCTCTTTGTGTCTTACTTAGAAAGGGTTGGCTAAGAAATGTAGTTTGCTTTTGGTCACAGCCAAAGGAGAGGGATACATTACCAGGAAATGGGGATGTTTTGTAGAACCCAAAGGTAGGATTTGCAGCCAGGCCCCTTGTGGGACTAACACTGGGTATCTTGTGCTGGCTTCCCTTCATGGGTCTGCTCCTGTCACTGTCTTTTCATAGTGGCTTTTTCTGGCTTAG